AAATCGGCGTCAAAATCTAAGTCAGCCATCATTTCGACTTGAGATAAAGTAACTTGAGATAAAATAACCGAATCTCTTCAAATACTGTTGGTACACCAGATAAATTCGTCTAAAGAAAAAGATTGCCTCAATTTACTAATTCATCCGTATTCACTGTGTATGTTAGTAGTTTGCATGCTTTTGATGTATCATTTAGTCTGCATGTATCGATGAAAAATGAACTTAAAGTCACCTGCAAAGTGGCTCATCATCCAAGACGCGCTTAATGAGCGCCCATATTAAATTTCTTTAACCTACGAAGGAACGAAAGAATCTTTTGTGGTCTTTAAAACCAAAGAAGGAGAACAGAAAAGGGCAGGGACATCTTATTTCTCCAAGGTAAGTTATAACAGTGTTGCTGGAACTCTCTCTGGGGCTGAGGAATTCTCTAATCTGAGGGCAATGGTCGTCACATTTTCGAGGTCTTTGGAGCTGACAATCGATAACTTAAGTAAACATGGTAAAACCATTCGAATTCCTCGAGGTGGAAGGTATTCCCAACTTTCGTGGTTTCGGCGGATATCCATGTTCAAGCAAGGGCTATGCAGAAACACGTGAGGGCTTGCTATATCGCTCTTCTCATCCTGGGGGTATGACTGAGAAAGGTTTGAGAGAATTGCAAGCAATGGGTATCAAGTACATCCTTGATCTTACTTCCTACAACGAAAAAACCATTCCTTGCAATGTACCATTAGAGAGACTGCAAGAAGAAGGGCTTCACAGGGTGCATATACCAATGGAAAAGGAGTCATTTTCCGTGGATAGGCTGTTGCTCAAATACAACGTGTACGAAAAAGAAGGGCCGGAAGTACGATCACTCCGTGTTGCCTTGCAGACCGTTGGCTAATCTTTTCTGACAGGCTGTTTCTAGAGCTTACATCGATCTGCTAGAAACGGGCAACAAAACCATTCAGACGATACTGCTGTTTTTGAACGCCAATCCAAGCACAGCAACACTTGTTCATTGCTCTCTTGGGAAGGATAGAACTGGGGTTGTGTTCATACTTCTGCTACTCCTGATGGGCGTACCGGATTGGTTCATCGCAAAGGAATACAGTCTTAGTACAACAGGTCTTAAAGGCACCGTGGGAACTATTGAAAGTTTTCTTCGTGAGAAAACGAACAATGATCCCCAATGCGGTGAGCTAGCATTGCAAATCACCACAGCACAGTAAGCCACATTTCCATATTATGAAGTTTTCCAGAGACTGACAACCCCTGAAGTGAAGAGGTAGCCATTCGTACCATCCGAGAAATGCGTTCAAGATATGGAGGAGCTCGGCAATATATTAGGGACCATTGTGGGCTCACAGAGCATGATATCTCGCTGCTAGAATCTATCCTTTCAGCAGGGTATTAAACAATGCATCATCTTCCAGAAAGCAAGCAGGTTGCGTGCCAATAAATATAACGTTTATGGGTGTATTAAGGATTTAGAAGCGGATTTCATGTTGCGGCAAGCACATCATTGTTGAAAACATCAATTGCAGAGTAATTAAGTCTTACTTCAGCACTTTTCAACGCTCGAATCAAGTTCAGCTATAGTCTAGATAGGCGTCTGGCTGGAACCGAGACGAAGACTTTTTTTCAAATAGTCAATCACCTCCATATCCCGCGCAGTCGAATTTGCTTTTTTATTTTGAGTCAGTATTCTCCGAATGAAAGTTCTAGGAGAGGTGGAGTAGAATTCGTAATCTGCTAAACATAAAAGGATGCGAAAATAGCTCCCTACCAATGACTACTGTCATCTCTTGGGCCTCCTTGTCAAAGGCTTGACGCGGATTTTCGTTATTTGAACAATTTTACGTGGAAGCCTGTCATAAAATGCAGCGCGCATTGTAATGTAATTAATTCAATAACTTCACATCCAGTGCTTTGAGCATTATGCGGCAAGCATTGATGGTCACGGTACTTTATGAAGAGTATTTCATAGCAGTCCACTAACTGAGTGACGTTAATTTGATGAAGGATCTAAGCTGAGGCCTTGGTAGTGGGGTCTAACACAACAAAAGCAATGTTGCCTTTGCCATTGAATTCATTCCCCCACCTTCATCTCCCGAACATTGTCGTGGTAAATTGTTCAGCTTCGATGAGTGGATGGATAAGAATCAAGGTGTACCTCAGGCCAGATTGGATAGCTAGCTGAGCTAGCTATGTTGTAGATGGCAATATGTCGAGCTACCCAATAAAAACAAATCAGATTTTGAAGCTAGCCTGTTAGCTGAATGACACAATAAAGGGCTGGAAAGGGCTTTTTACCTCGAGTGATAGGCGCCAACTTTTCAAGACGATTCCTGGAATTGCAGCGCACACGAGGACAACAGCAACCACGCATATGCGCAATATGCCCCCTCCCAATTTCTCCCGTCCACGATAACCTGGCAACGAGTGTCGAAAAAGTGCAAAGTAAATGGTGGCGATGAACAAGTAGTCAATCACAATAGCAGAACATATTCCATATTGAAAAGGCAAACCGGTCTGCATCCCAACCAGACAGAAGAGCATTTTGACTGAGCTCGAGACTGTTCCTGCTATGATGCACAGATATGGCGGAACAACACATGGTGCCTTTAGAAGTGTTTTCATCTGCAGACACTAGAGAATTGATACGTGAGCTGTCTGTAATAATGCTTATACTTGAAATGCGCACCTCAAATAAGAATGGGAATAAACTAATAATGGTCACCAAAATATATTGATCTAATGAATAAGAATATTAGCAATTAAGAGCGCTCACTTCTTGTCGAACCTTGCTCACAATTTTCGTCATTTGCTAACTTTCCTACAACCACCAAGGAAATAAGCAGGCAAAGGCTGATGATAGCAAGTACGGCATCCATTTTCTGATCTCGATGCATGTCTCGAAATATGCGGGTACAGCGTATGAGCCGGGCTAATAAAGCTGGAACCAACATCAACTCCAAAATCTGATGGATGAGAACCGAAATAGCCATGTTCGACATGATTTGTTGATTGAAAATATTTGGCCAGCTTTTAAAGAGACAGGTTTGTTTTAAAGCATTTGAACATACTCCCTGGCTTTCTGTTCGAGTTCCTGGGAAGACTTTAATTTGTCCAGAATTGGTGTGCAACGGATCCTCTCTCTCGTTCACAGGAGCTACAAGTGATTCTTTTTGCAAATCGAATCGAAATCACATTTTCTTCTAAGACCGAGGACCCGCAGCAGAAAACAACATACTCAGTTAGAGCCATACTATCTAGGCAAAAAGCAAATCTTGCGAAACCTAAGAAGGATATTATTGTTCCTGCTAAGGTGCATAGTGCAGCAATATTCGAAATCGGCTTCCATAGTTTGCACAAACAAGTTCAATCTAGAAGATGGGGTAGGGTCTACGCAAGCTAATCCATTTGCAACTGTAGAAATTTCGCCTAAGCCCCACACTATATCTGAAAGCAGTTTAACTAGTTCCGTGAGTGGACTAGCCTGGCCCGACCAGACAGTACAGGGCATATCCACAATCAGCCTAGTCAACGGGAATTTTAGGGGGAAAACTTGGGAGATTTGGCTCAGCGATAACAAGACTAATTACATGTCGACAGGTTAGGTGACTAAATTTTGAGATATCACTAGTAGATAATGGAATGCGGGTAGGGAAAAATATCTAAGATCCAATAGCCGGCCCCGCGAAGAATTAGCAAACTTCCGCATAATGAATTGATAGGAACACAGGAAATTTCAATGTGCCAAACGGGTCTATAAATCTAAAACAGAACAATAATCACTCAATCACTCATATTCCATGCGTGAATCTCCTGCTCAGCCGTGCGCTTCTCCTCCGATTTCGGAAGCAATTTGTCCCCAGCTTTTGATCTCTTTTTCCGTGTGGAATATTGTTTTGTTACCGTCATGTCACGTTTCTTCGGCGCCTCAACGATATCTTCGTAGCTCAACACTTTTGCATGCCCTACACCCGTCAGGCCACTCGATTGTCAATAAGCCTTTTCATTGTTCTGCTTAAATAGGATCTGGTTCTCCTCCAGTAACAAGGCGCTCCGCAAAGACCTTTTCGGCCATTGAGTTTACAGCTCAACCAGTAAAACAACAAACTGATGCAGACGACGTTTGTACACACCGTCTAGATTCTGGGTATCATGCTCGACCTCGGTGCGAAGCAAGGCGAAATGATCAGAGGTGTTTGGAGTGTAACAGATATTAGAGGACACGGTCAGAGGGTCCATTGAGATCGTGGTCTGTATCTGAAGCCGGGACGCTTGACACTCTCGGAGGACAGGATACGGATCGAATGGAAAGAGGCCGCTTCTGGATCTCGCCGATCGTATACGGTGGGGTATAAATGCCTCCTTTCGGGCGCGATCGTAAAGATACGTGAACTGTGGCTTGCCAATTGTACTCACCCCAGCTCGACATGCCTGCTCAACCTGTGCCCGGTATGCCGTTTTCAGAGGACTAAAGACACCTACGTCGCACGGTCTCTCTGGACCTCAGCGGCTGTCTGGAGGATCGCACGGATAATGCATTGCCCCGATCTATTCCTCGCTTTTCGAATTGCATGCAATGCCGATCGGCTATCACAAAGAATGATTGCTGTTGTGCGCGTGCTATTTATGGCGATTGAGCGTTGGTAGGCCAGCTTGAACGCCATATCGACAGCGTAGATGATGCCAATAAGCTCTGCTGCATGGACCGACCACCGTTCCAGCGGAACCACCTGGACCTGTTGAGATTCCTTCACCTCCTCATGATCGTCAAGTGCGATGATGGCAGCCCCCAGATGACCATTGCGCCCGAAGGCGTCCGACTTGAAGACCAAGTGTTTCGATTGTTATCTGTCGCTCATGTTGAGGAATTCAGGAGAAGACGATGATACTTGCGTTCAATCCGATTCAGGTCTGGTTGTTTCATCTGACGCATTTGACTTGGTGCATAGGCACAAATGACTGAATGTGGCTTGTTGGAACATTACATAAAAACGCGAACCTCAATTCCCACAGGCCATGTCTATCTTGCGTTTAACCGTGCGCGTCTCGACTTTTTGTTCGTGCTGGCGCTTCGCTGTATTTTTCACAACATCAACACCATCTTTGATATCCGAGGCATTGTGATAGTGTTGATTTGCCGGAAGTAATAGCTCGGCCACAAGACGCTGCTGGAAAGTGTCAAAGGGCTTGAAAGGGATCCTTTTTCGCGTGATGATCGGCCAGTTCGTATGCATCGTGGCAGTTTGCGGGTTTTCAATCGCGTTCAGAAGCTCGGATGTAAATTGAGCCTCGTAAAGGTAGATGAACGCACAGTCTGGCCACTTCGTAACGAGAAGACGCGACTGTAGTAAGTTTAGGTTATGGATATGCGCAGAGCGAGTATACTTTTGCTAACAGAGACATACCGTATGAGTTGTTTGTTTTTTAGTTGTGGGGGATCGCTCCTGCAGTTGGGCAATAGAGAGCAAGATACAAACGAAGTACGGGTCTTCCTCCCAATTAACTGGGATTATTTGTGCCAGCCGTTTTTGATGAAGACGCCCGACAGGCGCGTTATTGCCACAAGTAGGATGGCTTTTCGCCTGGAATTTATCTTCGCGGCCGTAAGTGGCGGAGGTGTAGTCAAAGTAGCCTATCAGAGATTGGTTGGCTTGTTTGCGATGACCAAACACGACAGAGTTTGGTCGATGAATCGCTTGGCCTGCGAAGTAAAATCTAGGTCCTTTTTCGCTGTTCATGAATATCGTTAGTAATTTTGCTAGTTACCCGCGCAAAAAAAGGCATTGCTTACCAACGCTCTTCAAAAGGGCTTCCCTCATACTCCAGAATGTGGGTAAGGGCGGAGAGCTTCACAAGGGGCGCGCAGCTATTTGCAAGTCGCTCGGGGGCCGATGGAGGCGGCGGCGGTACAGGAACGAGACCGTCACATTCAGCCCACTGGCGCGTATCGTCGTTGTTTTGAGCTTCACGCGTATCGCCAATGTCTCGAATGTTCTCCCTCGACTCAAGCGGCTTGAAGCGACATCCTACCAGATCTAAATGACGGGAAGTCCAGAACAGTGGGTCCACAAACAGCTCTCGGTGATAGCGCATGAGATATGCAAGTGGTTGGGGCTTCAAACCGGCCTCCATTCTGAAGTGCAAATTTGTTGCGGAGGGAATCCGAGGCATACCTGACACGTCCACAATAGATTCATCGGATCGTTCCATAAGCGCTCTTTCTGCCAAGTATGTGTTGACCGCCTCAATACCAGTAGAGGAGTCACATGACTCTGAAGCAACTGACCCGGGGTTACTTTAATCCAAACCGGCTACCCCACCCTGCACTATTGAGGTCAGATCCATGGACGAGAGCAAAATACAGCGTTTTAGAGAAAAAAGAGATAGGTGAGAAAACGCAGAATTCGAACCTCCTTTGGCTCACAGCATGGCTAATAGTCCATACTTCAACACTGTCAACTCAAAATCATCCTTCAGGGCTCGTTTTTGTGCCGAAAACAGGAAATTGTTTACCCAACTTCATGATGTTGGGGCCAGTGATTGGGGACGTGATCACTTATTTGCTTGTCGTGTTGTCCGGCGGGATGCTCAGCATGGCATTCTCCCGATCCTGTCACCCTATCAATTTCCCTCAGACCTTCAATCATCCCCTGAGATCGTGAAATTTCTTAATGGCCCAGATGGTGTCCAGATGACCCTAAGTGAGCACCGTCTCGTGCGGGATCCAACTTGCGGCATCTCTCTCGGCCAAGTATGGGGGGCATTGGCAATGTTCAAAGGCAGCGAGGAGCGCCGTGGAAGGGACTCACTTAGAGTTTCCCCAGAGGAAAGTGACAATGAAGCTGAGCCATCTCCGAAGCGTCCCAGAAAGCGCATTGAGCGCATCGCGCAAAGAGGTTATGTCGACTCAAGGGAGATGCAGGTTGGATCTAGCAGTCCAGCTGCTGATGGTTCCCAAGGGACATCTTCGGTGGAGTTCATTGATGCTGAATCGCATAGACTATTGGCGTCCCCGGAGGATGACACTTTACGGCTTATATCTTGCGTTATTCGGCATATCTTATACTTTGCATCGCCTCAAAATTCCGCAAATATGGCCACCGTTGTCGAATTCAGAGACGCAAAAGCAAGGCTTTCTGCTCGCACTCCCAAGTTGAAGCGAAAAATCATAGCTATCGACGATGGAGGTCTATGTTTACGAGAAGAATCAAGAGGCATATTCAAAGTCCTTAAAAGCCGCGTGGCTATTTTGGAAGCCAAAAGGCAATTCCAGTGCCTAGAGAATGGTCGGCCGACTATTTCAGACAATTGTTTCGCACAGATGACTTGCGAGGCTTTGGTAGCCAGATTAGCTGATCCGTTTAAGGAGCTGCAATTCAACAGGTACTGCTCGAATTTCTTAATCATATATAAATCGCCGCAACCGTGATAGATTACTGACAATATAGGACAGAGTACTGCTTATAAATGCTACGCAGCACTATATATGCTTCCTTGAATTTGAGATCAGTGATGAATATCTCCAGGACTTTGAATCAGATGTGCCTACTTGTTTTATGCATGTTAACTCGACACCGTGGTTTGACCTCAGCTCCAAAAGCGGCAGGGAGCAGGCCGTCACCAACCTGTGTGCTATCATGCGCTGGGCCCAGACATGATCTCCAGAGCACAAAAGTATGATTGAAACTGTTATTCTAACCAATTGGTTTCTCGCCTCGTTGCAATGAAAGCTATCTATCGCAGGCCCTGAACACATCGTTTCCGATGACTTTAGTAGGCTGCGCTCGATCGTCTCCAGGATATTCTCAAGGACGGGAGAGGTGGCGTTTTGCAGACTGTTAATCATTATCGTGCGGATACCCTTCTCTCTATCCGTCGAGATCGAGTCCTAGCGATACTCGAAGTCTTACTTTTAGTGACGGTCTCCCTTTGTTCAACATGGAAAAAGCTCTGAGAATTTTTCACTCTAGCAATGAAGATCAGGGAATCTGCGATATTCAAGACATGCTGAAAGCCTACTACAGTAATGACCTTCATTGCCCTCTATGTACGGGACATTGAGACACTATTTGTAGTGAGACATATGCCCCGGCACGCTTTAAAAATCGACTTTTCCAATCAGCATAAGTTTAGCATGAGGATAGCTTATGCAGTGACTGGAATACTGTAATTGGTAATTTGAAATTCTGCCAATTCTATTACATAATAACTTCCATTCTTTCCGATTGGCAGCCATCGGCACCCGTACCCCCTTTTCCATTAATAGATTTGTCCAAAATTGAAAATGGAGCAAGATCATAATTAGAATGATGTTAATCACCAGGTCGCACCCCATCAAAAATACATACATAGAGTTTAGATACTAACTTAGAACTCCTGAAATCTTGACTTTAATTATACAACCATTTCTAATTCCAACCTACTCTCAAAATCAATTCCAGTCTACTACGACGGACTTCCCCACCCCCCATACTTAAGAGAAAAGCCTTATTTCCAGTCTAGTAGACTGCTTATCTCATGGTCCCTTCTCTCTGCTTTCAGTGCCGATTTCCAGTTTCCCCTCTCGGTCAATCCGGCAGTTAAGGGCCCTTTTGTATTTTCCCTTTCCCTTTCATTCCTTAAGCTCTCCCACCCGGGCATTCTTGTGCAACCCGACAAATGATAAAGCCCGCTCCACCATGAGACGAGCGACCGTCTTCTCCAATAAGCCCGGATCCACCGCTAGCTCAAGGGTATTCATCTATTTAGGTCTAGCGGTCATCGCTTTCCTACTCTTGTACCAACTGCGTCTGAACCACGACTCGCTGCGTTCCATCACGTCTTGGAAAGTCGGATCAGCCGCCATTACGACTTATGATCCCGATACTGGTGATGATGCAGGTGACTGGGTTTCAGCCGCTTTGAATAGTACTGTGCAGTCGAAGACTAGTGCCATGCAGCAAGTGAACCCAACAAGAAAGCCAGTTGCAGACGCGCTTGCAGACGGATCTATACCCACACCGGATTATTCGGCTATACCTATTTTGCCTACACCGAATGAAAAGGAACTCGTAATTGCCGCTATGCGCAAGAGTGATATGTCCTGGGTCAAGGACTTTGTATCTCCGGATTGGATTTTGAATATTTTTCGGGCTGATATACCGGCCGGCGAAGCTGAATTCACGGTTCCGGAAAACAAAGGCAATGAAGCCATGGTCTATCTCACGTGTGTTGCACATCTATTGATATCTATGAGCAACTTGATGCCAAATTGATCCTTGGAAAGAATTATCGTTCAGGACTTGGGAGCTAACAAAAGACTTCAATATAGATACATTATTGATCGATACGGTACCCTTCCCGACGTAACGCTCTTCGTACATGGCGGGAGATACCAATGGCACAACGACAATCCTCTCTATGGTAACGACTGCAATCATGCACAAATCCCCCTGCACTTCAAAACGTTCTCATCTAATCCAGCTTCACCATCCAGATTCCGTCATCTCAATAAACGCCCTCCAGATAGACCACGTCCGCAATACCGGCTACGTCAACCTGCGTTGCTCCTGGATGATCGGCTGTCCAGCTGAACTCGAACCCGCCCGCTATCTCCGCGAAAGTCCTGACGACCAGAGCCATCCCACCGCCATGGAATTTCCCCATAGCTTCATGGAACTTTTCCCGGGCACCGAAGTTCCAGAGCTTGTTGGCGTTCCATGCTGCAGTCAGTTTGCAGTATCTCGAGAGACGATTCGCGCGCGCGGGAAAGAGGATTATGTCCACATGCGAGACTGGTTGCTTGCATCACCATTAGATGCGAGTACCAGTGGGCGTATTTTTGAGTATTCATGGCATAGTATGTGTATTCGGAATGATCCATTCCACGATGTTGTTGACTGGTTCATGCTAATTATTCATGCAGTTATGTTTGGCAAAACGTCGCAGTTCTGTGTTGATCCTGCTGGGTGTTACTGTAATATCTATGGGTATTGTAATATGACAGAGGATGAACTGAGAAACCAATGGGTTTTCAAAGGGGTGACCCTTCCGGAAGGTTGGCCTGCAAAGGGTTGGCCAGAGCCAGAGCCACAGCCACAGAACTAAAAAAAAAAAAAACGTTTTAAAAGACCCGGCTCTAACATTGAAAGTCTGGGGAAATTTTCTGAAATAATCTGTACCATATCTATATCAGTCAGTCTCAAAATCGGGACAGATAAGCCCCGATAAACTTGAATGTATATGAATTGAAATCTTGGAATATCCATGGATGGTTAGAATATGCTCCGTCAAGGTCATAGATTGCATTACTCATACAAATGCTTTGATTCTCGAGGTAGATCTTATAGAGGCTTTACCGCCACAAGTCCTGTCCGACTGGCTCGTTTGTTTCCACTACCAACTCACTCATTCACCGCAAGGAACCCACCAAAGCCATTAGCAACCAGTACGCTCTTGCGTGAGTCTCCACCCAGAACCGGCTTAATAAAGCCTCCCGGAAGCTCACCCGGTGGGTGGTTGCGCGCTATAATCCAGCACTGTATCCGGTTAGTATGGGGGGCCACAAGGGATAATTGAAGCACAAAATATCTGGTCATCATGTTTGTGCCTTGCGTGCCTTAAATTGACATATATTAATGAGTTCATGAAATCGGACAGGATGCTTCTTTCTCACCTTGTGCTTGCAACAGTGACCAACGTCATTGCTTCCCCACTCACTGAGCGAGAAAATACCGCTATGTACTTGTTCCAATGGAAACTAGACGCCAATATACCCAGCCCTCTTGTCACCTCCTGATTCATCCACATGTACTAGATGATACGATTGAAAATACGACAAATTATGGAGATACTGTACAGTTCTCGCAAATCGGTGTTACGCTCTTTGCATGCTGCCGGGCCCTTTTGTTAGACGAGCCTTTGGCCACAAGGGCTTCTTTGATGCTAGAGGTGATGATCATCGTGCGAAACTTATCCCAGAGGAAGACAGCCATCACATGGAGGTACAGTACAGGCCCAGTTGTTCCGACAGAGGTCGCAGAGCGCGTCGATCATTAGCGGCGTTTCGGTTGGTTTGCGACGTATGCGAGTTAGGGGTGCGTGGACGTTGCCGAACTGCCGCAAGTTTCTGCGAATATTTATGATCGTGACCTTGCTACATTCGGCTTCTTCGGCCATTCGAGATCTGATTAGTGACTGGCTCTCTATCATATCACGGATTAGATGCAGCTTTGAGTGGACAAGTCTTAGGGCCATATTGCAAGCCTAGTATAGGTTATCGCTCAGGAGCCATTAACAGAAGAAGAAGCCTGCTCCTTGGGGGAGAGAAGATGGCTAGAGTGGTGTCGTAATATGGCAGTTTCCTGTAATTATCAAAGAACACGGTCCCACCCGCGTCATGTAAAATACAGTTTCTATTTTAGGAACCAGGGAATCGACGGATTTAGCCTATCCGGGTTAGTGTTTTCCAAATCAGTGTTCGGGAAATAAAGTCGAAGAGTGTGGAGGTAACTGTCGAAATATCACTTCTAGTATCACTTATCTATGGAGAAAATCGTTCGCAGCCATATCCTTATGAGCCTAAAATCTAAAGGGTATTTTCCTACAAAAGCTGATTGTAATAACTCCCATAAATTTCTACCCCGTTCCACCTAATCAAGTCACTTGTCATCAAAGTTGCGGGTCGCGGGGTCACATTATTCCGGCGGTGGAGAAGCTCCTCGTAGGGGACTGAGCGCCTCCAGTTCAAGCAACTTCGGTAGGCTCGTAAGAGTAACACTGCTTGATAATCCTCGTTTTTATGATAGACCATAGGTTGCTAGTCAATGTTAGATTTGACCCAGCGAGCCCTTTCCAGCCCTTTAATGGACGGAGCCAATCTGAGCGCCAGATCAACCATCAAGTGGGTCTCCTTGGCTGGATTCTTTGTTTGCTATCGGCACGGTACTTTGTAGAGCAAACAAAGAGAGCGTCGGGCTTGGGTGGGAAAGAAAAAAAGCCCCCTTTAGCAGTTACTCCTTATCCCCTGAGATCCTCACTTATTATTTCAACATTCATTTTCACCCCTAGCCTAGTCTTGCCGAGCTCTTCAAACAAAGTGTGCTTTTTAGGTCCACTCACCCATCCACAATGTCGCAGAACAAAATGTTTCGCACACTCTTGCCAGCGAATGAGAAGGACGCGATAGAGCCCCTGATCGCAGAGCCCGCCAAAGAAATGCGGCGCAACGTTTCTCTTGCTTGTACAGAGTGTCAAAAAAAGAAAACCAAGGTCAATTCCGGCATTTTCCCAGGTTAGAGGACAGGACTAATATCGTACTTCTATTGCAGTGCTCTGGAACGACACCATGCAACAGATGTTCAACTGAAAGCCGCCAGTGTCTATATGATCATATCGGTGACCGCCGACGCAAAGCGTATACTGCCGGGTTGTTGAATTCTCATGCTGCTCTTCGTCGACTGGCTGCCAAGCTCCGCTCCGCACCCCCCGAGGAAATATCATGGTTGGTCTGGGAAATTCAAAGCTTGCCAAACGACGAAGATGCAGTGAATTACCTCATTCGCCTGCTAGATTAGAATAGGAGGATCACTCAGGCGACGTTCTTCGTTGATTAATTGAATCCTCAACAAGCGTACATGGCTTATCAAGTGCCTCGTATCGAGTGCCAATTATATATGAGATATGTTCAAGTTCCTCGTTACATATGGCCCTCTAGTCTTAGCCGTGGATTCTTTTTCCACCGTAGCCGATGGCCTATCGCAAATCTCCACTCCCCGATTACTTTAGAGGAAAAGCATTACCAACATCAACATAAGGAGACCTGTAACATATCCAATCAAAGTGCTGAGTCAGTAGCAATTTACAAATAACAAAGCACCAGAATATCCTTCATCGGCAGAAGATGCTGCAAGACTGACTTGCATACAATTGAGGACGAGGGAGAAAAAGGCAAATGCAGATATCAAGGGACCTTGGATTCGAGCAAGATACGCTCGATACTGATAATTCTCACGTTGGCAATGGCTCTTGCGCAGGAGCATGAGCGCGTAATAGTGAAGCCGAGTCAGTTGGTTTTCTCCGATAATGATATCGGCCCGAAATTCTGATATCGGTGATGTCGATGAAACGGGAAGTGAACTGGCAGAATTGAGGCTAGGTTACCGCTTTAGGAGCTAGTCAGAGGTCTGGATCTTATACGAGGCTAGGTTACCGCTTTAGGAGCTAGTCAGAGGTCTGGATCTTATACGATTCGTAGGTCTGATTCATGCTGGATCATGTAGAAATATATTCGCAGATACCCGAGTGCGGCCTTTCTGAGCTCGACCGCCGCGCCATGTTTAAAGGGATCGCTCATGAACAAATCCCAGAACACACAGAACATAATGTACTTCGGAAGAGGTTTAGGGTAGATCCGATCGTCGATCCAGACGAGATGCAGCCGGGATCTTCGGTCACAATGATCTGTCGGCCCTTCCCTCGCTGTCGGTGCAACGGAGAGATATTGCTGCCATCCTGCTTCGACATCCACCATAGTCTGCCCGATATCGACTCTGATCAGACTTCATGGCGAGAGAATTCAAAAAGCCCTTATTACCGCTCATTCTGAATCCGTGGATGACCTGGCAGGTAATCAAGCGATGCACCGAGATCATCATTGAGCTGATCGTCTTTATGGAAGGGACATGGCGATGCAGAAATTTCTGCGTGCATTGACATTATCTACAAGCAAGAATTCCTGATTAAGGCTGAACGCTGAGGAGCAAGTTAGATAAACTGGTTTTCACGATAAAAGTTGTCGCTAAAGAGCGGGGTTTACGTTCAGCCTCGTCTTCGGGAACTCAGACTCGCGGGAACGCAACGCTGCCCGATCCAACCCTACAATACAAATCTGAAAACAGCCTAATCAGCGAGGAATTTGTGGAGCCACTTACGCTGGTTGATTTCAGAGTTGAAAAGAGTACTTGTCCACAGCATAGTTAAGTACATTCTGGGGCATTCTTGGCAGATAATGGTACGCGAATAGGGGAAATATATAATATCTAACAGCCGGTCTGTCGTCGAAAGGCTAAGCCACCTCATCATGAAACACAGGAATCTTTAACGTGCTGAACGAGTCTAGAAATCCAAAACTAAGCAAGAACCACTCATACACCATGCTTGAATCTCCTGCTCCGCCTTGCGCTTCTCCTCCGATATCTAAAGTAGCTTGGCCCCAATTTTGGATCTCTTTTTTCGCGTGGCTTGTTCCGTCACCGTGGGGTCCGTGATCTGGAAAATTGAGAATCGTTGGCGCACGATGATTAGGGCGAGCGATCGTAGAAACTTAATTGGAAGCGGATAGCCGTTTTTGCTAAGCGCAACACATAATCCACCAGCGCTTGCTCCTTTTGCGGGGTAAGGTACTGCTGATTGGCGGATTTTTTAGCAAATGAAGGCTTGTTATTGGCCCGGCACCACAAGGTGGACGCGGGGATCCCGGCCAATCTCGACCGAATTGCGTATGATGTCCGCCCAGGATTTGATGGGCTGGGGACATCGAGACCATTTTTTAGTAGAGTATCCTGTAAGCCATCCACGAATAGAAATAAAGCTCGTTAGACCGCAAAAGGCCATAGGAGTATAGATACTGAGAATTACGTGGATATCACCAAGTGGTGTTCAGGACACCGTATGCTCAATTTCTACCTAGATTCTCCTCGACTGGCCTTAAATAAGGTCCATTTTGAAGCAACCTTCACCAGTCAGACTCGGCAAATCCCGCCAAAGTTTGATAAGGCCAAAAGCTACTGAATCGCCAAGCGCGGGTTCGAATCCTGTAAGTACAAAAAGTTTCGTTTACCTATTGAGTGCCGATCGTAGTTGATCAATTTCTGCGCTGTTTTTAACTGCGGATCAATTGCGGTCCGAAATCGTGGAGTGTTTGGCATTCATCATAAATCCTACAAGTTTGTCGATATTGGTGATGCTGTAAATATTTTCCCCAAGGATCGCGGTTTTCAGCGTTCAACAATCAAAAGGGATTTGAACACTGTTTTTAAAGTATAGTTGATGTCGCATACAGTAATGATGAAAACAAAAACATCAATAGCTCTTGACACCAACAGCCTCTAACGATAGTAGGCGCGAAAAAGCTACATTGTGCATTCGGATTTAGCCAGATAGCGCGTGTTTTGGACGCTGGATAACAAGAGAGAATTTGAGCACTTTTATTTGAGCACTTTTATTTGAGCACTTTTATTTGAGCACTTGAATTTGAGCGATTTATTTGAGCAATGTATTTGGCAATTTATTTGATTATAGTTGATGGTATATTGTAATGAAGAAAACAAAAAATGAACGAATTATCCTCGAAATGAACAGTCCTTGCAATGACAATGAAGCACGGGAAAACAACCCACAGTGTTTGAATTTACGAAGGTAGCGCGTGGTTGATCGTTAAACTACAAGAGCAAAATTCAACATTGATATGTGAACTTGCCTTTCAATCATGACCAACCCATCAATTTTGGTCAAGACTGTTTACTTTGCTTCGATTGTTGAGCATCAATCGCACTTAAGCTACAGCACAGGTCAACATAGGTGCGTTCGTCCGGGCAAATATCACTATCTGGTGTTTTTCACCAGGGGCGTTTGACGAGGTTCATTTAAACGCTCCTTTTTGAGAGATGGGTGGAAACCCGCATCTCGCTGCCTTCATGTGAGCCATCGGTCACTTGGACTTCAGGGTCAATGTAATCCCCCAAGGAAGAGGAAATCTTTCGGTTCGCCCTAGATGTGGTCTCACGTGAACCTTCTTTCGCACGAGGCGCTAGGTACAAAGTGGCTAGCTCCAGGCTAAGCCAAGGTTGGTTAGCTTCAAGCTATGTCACGTGATATCAATGCTAGAAACTGGCGCGGAGTTTATCGAAAGTCAATCAGAGTTCGTAGGCTCAGATCACTCCTTTTTCACTTTCCTCAAGTTTTTGTAGGGGAAGAAAAGAATACAAGATCACTCATAAAGTAAGTCAGGAAATTGAGGGCTTTTAGGTGAGCTCAGCTCTCTTTAAATTGTCCCCTATAGCTTATATACATCAACTCGTGCTTCAGCAAGATATACATTTTCTTTGCCAATGGGGACTGCTTGTTGAATGCTGTACTGCAAACGCATGCAACCCGCTTCCCCCCCCATGATTACAAGTAGTTGATAGAATTTCCAAACATAAGACGCTGAAAGTCAAATCACTGGTTCCGTGAGAGGCTCATACGATAGAAAATCGAAAATGCGCATGTTCTCAGGTAACGCTAGTCGCCTGATTTCCATCAGTGCGTTGTCTCTTTCAGGGGCGGTATTGGTTTGCCTGTCAGTTGTTTTCGCTGGATGTACTTCGCCATCCTCTCCGTCCCATCTATACTTCTTAAAGGTAAGTTTTCTATTTCCTATGTTTCATAGATGAAGATTCATAACCCATGACAGGTCAATCTGAGCAATTTCCCGGAGATCGGGGATCTCAACCTTCGCCGTTCAATAGATTTGACTGCAGTTTCTTCAAGTGTTACAGATGAGGCCACGAGTGTCGCCAATAGTGCGACGGAAAGTCTGGATAGCGCAGCGGATGAGGCGTCAACTGCAGTTGAGAGTGCAGCAACAAAGATTTCTACCGCAACAAGCGGGGTCTTCAGTGAAGCTAGTGATGCCTTAGAAACGTTGGAAAAACAACTTCAGTCAGACTTGCCAGCCTTCTATAAGGTTGGTCTGTGGGGATATTGCGAAGGTAATGACACCCAAGTCAGTTCATGTTCTAACCCCAGTACTTCTTTCACGTTCAACTTCTCTGGGATATTGAATTCTTTCTCCACTGAAATCGTCGACCTGATTTCCGATATCGATGCCGAAGTCTTGACTGGATATCGCGACGTATCCAGAGCAATCATTTGGCTCTACATTTTTGGTTTCATCGGGGCAACCCTCACCACACTTCTGGGTATCAGAAAAGTGTTCTTCCATGGAGGAAACAGGCTGCTTATTTTTCTCGGCATGGTATATAACTGATTGACATTTCAATTTCAACGAGTGCACAGTACTAACTGACCCAGATCTCCATGACTCTAACTACCGCTGCAACTATTGGTATAACGGTGATCTACGCTTTGATCACTGCTGGTATCAAGACCATTTTAGGTACTTTTGGAGCTTCAGCCAGTCTTGGGAGTCAGACATTAGCCGCTACCTGGCTGGCAGTGGTCTTTTCTATTGCTAGTCTATTAATATGGCTGATTGAACTGTGCTGCTAGTGTTTTTGAATACGATGTGGAACAGAGAGAAATGGGTATTTTCGTAAAGCCCAAGGAATGCTGCCTCTTGAGCTACCTCTCGACTTGCCTCTCGAGGGTGCTGTTGAGGGTGTTGTTTTAGGGTGTAGAGTGTTGCTTGTCGTTACATGTAGTCAAAAGAATAAAACCAAGAAAGTTAACGGATTCCGTTATCGCAAGGATGAACAGCTGTTTCTCTTGCAGTAAGGCAGTTCGATACTGTATAATGTCCAGCAGTCTAGGTTCTATAATGTTCACTAAAATACATAGCTTCTGAATGTGTATAGTAATGTTCAGGAAGTAGCTCGTATCTAATAAGCTTTTCAATTTTCAGATTGCAAGAGCCTATGGCAACACTCGCTGGCTTGTATGGATGTTACTGGATTTCCATCTCTTATTCAGAATAAGGAAGTAACTGGCGGGCCTACATTCTCTTGCTATGTTCCTGACCATATGTACATGCACATCAAGACGGTTCCAAACAAGGATGATCTGCGGCCTACCCTAAGCACCCCTAGGTGGTTTCACCATCGTCCTGGCGGTGGGGCATAAAATACTTTCTCCGTGTAAAACATGGAATCCAATTTCGAACATTGCTGTACTGAGCAAGAATATCTTGCGTTATGGCACGAGTCGTAGAATGGAGAGAAGTTCCAAGAACTGGCGCTTTGATCACTCTGATAGATAGCATCTCCTCAGGCTGAGAATATCCTTAATAGGATTGTTTTTTCCGTGGGACTTTCATCAGGTTTCATGGCACTGAAAGCGCATGCATTGCGGCCTAACCCTGCTTCTGATTCAAGCAAACATGCAGCACAAACGAGCAGGAAACCAATAAGAAAGAGCATGCATGCAATCAGCGGGAATAACCAGCATGGTAACTGATGACCAATTTATCGGTTGCGACAATCAGCTATTGCACGCTACTCGGAACTAGCGGCTATCAAAACAGACTCAGCGGCCTTACCTTAAGCTTAACTGGATATCAAACTTATAGACGTTATGCCATCTCATTGGGTGCCAATTCCCAATAGGCATGAGCATCTTACGAAGTTTCAATGGCTACCTATAGTGGACCAATACATTCACCATCCCTCAACTTTTGCCGTTTGCCGTTTGCCGTTTATAAACCATGAAAAGAAGCCGAGATCAGGTAAATGAGTGTTGTTGGACTCAACTTCCTGTCTCATAAGACAACTCTTAGCTACCTCACTTGATGGCAAGGAGATAATCTAAAATGTTGTTAGCGAGGACTGAGTTGAAATTTAAATAACTCGTCCTCGCACTTATACGGCCCAGAGCCCTTCAGGAAGAAACCAGCCAGTGCAATACTAGCAAAATGTTCTGTTGTGAAAGAAGTCTCAATCTATGCTCCATATTAGTCCTTCCAATCCTATGCATGGCCCAAAGTGAACGCGGAAATATTCATCTAATAAATAATTGCCGGTTTCCATTATATGTAAAAGGAGTATCTAAAATCACATATCTTGATACTGAACTCGCAGCGGGGCAAAGTATTGTACAGGGCTTTCGTATTACAGACAATGCGACAGGAAATTCTCTCAAAGTCTCGACTCAGAGAGACAGTGTTGAAGTTTCTCAAGTAGAGTACAGCGCATGCTTCGAAGAAGACGAGGGGTCCGATTGTGAACCAATGGGCACCTTGTTCTATGACCTATCGTTGATAAATGCCCCGCCGACTACAGCGTTTGGCACACGAATTACTCCAAGCTTTACAGAATGCCCCGTTATCGAGTGCCCCGCTCGTGATCAAAGCTGCAGTCTGGTATACTACCACCCCGACGATAATTTCGCCACTCAGGAATGCGGCGTTCAATCGAACTTGGAAGTTGAATTTTGTTATGCCTGAAATTAGTTTAATCCATTGAGACTGCATGTAGTGAGAATTCACAATCATGATTGATGTTGTGCTGTTCATACATAATCCTATGAAGCTTCAAAACGCTCTTATCTGCCCACATTCGGGTATGCTTGTCATAATCATGCCTACGGTCACGTCCATTTAATTTTGGCCTGCCAGATCGTATTTTATCTCCAGGCGTACCCTTTACTTAACTAATTCTAATCCTTTAGGTTAGAAGATCCATAATAAGAACAGAAATAACATGTAACAATGCTATCGTGTGCGAGCTACTATGGCGGACGGGACGGACCGCAGTCAGGGGGGGGGGAAGTGGCATGAGGGAGGTAAGGAAAGGAAGATTCCGAGCAGCAAGGGAGAGGCTATTTAAGTAAATCAACTTGATGCTTCGCATACATATCTTGGGAATTAATTGCGACCGTGCAGCTCGGTTCCTGATCTGCATGAATCTCATATCACAACAGAACGCAATTTGATCAAAGGTGCAGTTTTTGTTGCAACTAAATTCTATCTAGAGATTCCAGTTCCTGGTCCTGAAAGGATCGGAGTTTGAGTTTTTCCGGCCCGGAAACTCCAAGTGCGCACAAGCTTGACCAGAATATATCATGAAGTGTATTTGTTGTGATATGAGGCTGGTGCAGATCAGGAACCAAGCCGAACCATCGGAGTTAATTCCGAAGTATGTATACGAAGAACCAAGTTGATTTCCAATCAACTTGATCTTCTCGTTGTATATATAGCCTCATGTTTCCCGCTGGATAATAAGATAATTCATACCTCTAACCTACAACAGTATTCAGCAGAAAATTGCTCACCTCCACTCCGTACAATGCAGCTCAGGGAACATCTACCCTTGAGATTAGGAACAAAAGGAGGACGGGATCGGAAACGGCCATCCCACCACTTAGCCACTGGTCGCGAGCATCTGGCGCCGCTTGACCCATTTCGGAAATGATCCGCTGAGTGGAAGCGAGCTGGGACGGTAAAAGTGGAGTCCGGGGGGTCAGGATCGAACAGAGGACTCTTGTGCTCTCGGGTTCTACCATTTGCTCCCCGGGCCTCGGAAAGATCCACTCCTTTGCCGCCCTATCCGGGAAGCCCGGAAGGTGATACAAACTGTGTTTCTCCATAGCTCAATGGTTTATACATAACTATGTTTGTATTAACATCCGCCACGCTTATGAGCGTGAAATTTGCCGAACATTCCGTATATGCACACCCAACCACGGAGACTACAGTGTCGCAGGCAACGACCTGCAGTATACGGTGACGGTCGGGTTTGGTACTTGAGGTGGAGGCCCAGTGGATCCTCCTAAGACCCGACTGGAGGTCTAGACTGCGACTTGGCTCTGGATATGCTAAATCTAGTTGTGAGAGGATGGGAGTCAGATGGAATGGAGGGAACGCAGCACTGTATGGAGGACCAACGGCGTCTCTCAAAAATGGGTTTAGGTTATCAAAAGTCCCGGGGAATATGTACATATGTTTGCAATAATAACGCCATGTCTCGAGTAAAAAACTGCTGTAGACTTTATTCATGGCCAAGCCAGGCCCTGATATTCACCCGAAGGCGCCGTGGACTCGTCGCCAGATTCGAAGTAGTATTCCTCCAATATATCATCTGACGCCTTGTTAGCACTGCAAACCGACGGCAAATGTCAAGGGACTGACTTGTGTAGCTAGGCCCTCTTGGAGAAAGCGTTCGGGACGGAGATATTGATTCCGCGTCGCAGTTTGCCAACTGCTCAATCTGTGCAGACTCGCGATGCGCGAGGTCCTGGCGCCACTGTTGTAGCCTTTGCTGAACATAGGGATCGGAGGTCTGCAGAACGAGTGGAGGGGGTGAAGCAGGAAGTTGGCTAACGAGACTTTGCCGACGATTAACAGCGGCGCCTTCAGGCGAATAAGCCATTTTCCTGACTGCAGCTTGCCGTCTCGCCTCCCTGTCCATATGGTCTATCTTAGATCGCAAGGAGCTGGCGGACCTGGGCTTCTTGTTCTGTATGTAGTATTGCTTGCATATTTCCCTCCAAGAGAGATGCCGATGACGCAAAAGCCAGCCTCGAAGCTTCTTTACTTCTTCTCGATCCCATGAGATATAGACCTTTTTTTGTTCACCGGCATAGTGCTGACAATCATGAAGTTGAAGAGCAAAGACACTTGGAATGCAAATGCTTTCTGGGGGTTTTGAAAGTTTGAGAGGCTTTCATGACGAAAAGGAATTGAGACGGGGGGAGGAGGCCAGTCATTTAATTGAACTGAATCTTAATGTCATTGCTACATTCTCCATCTGCGTCTCCCATTGTGTGGCGTCTTAGGCAATTGTGTCCCTAATTGATCACAAAAACAACCTAGTTCCTACAATTTCCCCAGCCGAATTTGGATGGTGAGTGGGGATCGATGAGTGATCCACAAGCTCGACAGCATTTTAAGCAGCCCCGTCAAATCAAAAACTCTCGTTGCGAGAAGTGCCTTTTAGCTCCAAAACAATCCAACCTATTGGCCAATTTGACCAATTTGACCAATTTGACCAAATTCACTCACGAAAAAGAAAGCGGAAGGTGGGGGTGGTCGAAATTGCGCAAACGAAGGCCCTCCAAATGGGAATTATGCGACCACCGATGGTGCCGATATGTTCAAGTTACGAACCCTCTTTTCTTTCTCATTTGTTCCCAACCTTTCATCAAGGGGCAAATTCAAAGTTGTAGGTCCCCGTACATCTTTGACTTTTGCAGCTGTCCGTACATTATCTCTGTTCTTGACTCAGTATGATTATTACCAGATAGTAGATTGTCCGTATGTCGGCCAAGTAGATGGTGCTTTTGCCCTCGCATTTATATTCCTGTAATCTGCCCGCTAAAAAAAAATCGGCTGGTGTTATGCTGCTCCTAAAACTAGCCCGAGCTCGTCATGGTTACCGACTCCGCTAAAATATATATAATCCTGTCTTCCTGTCTTCCCGGCACCCTTTTTTCATTCCCACGCTTTCCAAAGTAAAAGCTCGCCAGCCCCAATGGATCAATTTGCCGAGTCAAACGATCTTATGCGGGAATGGCGTCAAATGTTCCATAGAGACTCCGGAAAACAGCCTCGACAGCTA